ATATGAAGTCTAGATCCTAGAACAAAAGTTAAGAGGGGGGTCTGACCAGAGCAAACAGGGAAGCCTAGGTACCTGGTTTTGTATCCTGGATCTCTCATAGCGGAGCCTCAGATGTCATTAGCTTTTGGGATGGCAGTACCACACTCTTGACTCACGTTGGGTTCGAAGTCTACTGTGATCTGTTTCAGATGAGCTATGGTCTGGCCATGCCTCTCCTATTTTGTATTTGGGAAGGTGAGTATAAGAATTTACATTCATCTATATTAAACTTAATCTCACCAGAGCTGTGTGAATGAAGAGAAGGAAGGAAGGAAAGGATCAGATACAATGTATGTTGAGAAGGTAGAAATAACAAGTTTTGGCATCTGATTGGATATCAGTGAAGTGAGGGAGAGTAGGAGTCCAGGGCAATGCTGAGATTTTGAACCTAAAACAAAGACCCAGGTGGTAACCTGGGAAAAGACAGAAATATTTGAATTTCAGTTGTCTCATCTGTGCATTGAACAGATTCTTTCCATTTTTGTAACTGGAATCAACTGTTTAGATAACTGCTGATCTGTCTTATAAGTTTGAAGTAAGCTGTGCTTCCCCCCCATTCCTGTTCTCCCCCCCCCCACTATTTCTCTTGATATTCTAGGCCTTTTGTTCTTTCAAATGAAATTTATTATTTTACCTAGCTCTGCAAAGTATGTCTTTGGTAGATTTTTTGGTATAGCATTAAATTTTTAATTTAATTTTGGTAATACTGTCATTTTCTTTATGATGGCATGGCCCATCCATTAGCCCTAATTATCTCTCCAGCAATTTAAATTTAAGAAGCATTTTGTAGTTGGTTGTATTATTGTGTGTCAGACTAACATATGACAACATATTCCACAATAAATTCTTAATGGATATGGCCTGAATATTAAGGATCATAGGACAAAAAAATTGAGATTCTCAGATCATATACTTTTTACAACTAGAGATGAATTCTTAATTGGATAAGGATTTGAAAAAGACAAAATGGATCATTCTCCTGCATGAAAAGGAAATGCTTTTGCACGCACAAAATCAAGTCATCTGGGACAAGAAGGGAAGCAATAAACTGGGGAAAAAAATCTTTGTAGAAATTTTTTCGGAAAAGGTTTTGGAATTCAAGGTGTTAGTTGTTGGACAACTCACAGCAGCAGAGCAGACCAAAAGGCATTCCTCAGTATCTCATTGCTCAAAGGATGTCAATAGAGTTCTTAAAGGAATTACAAACAGTTAATAACTCTATGAAAGAAAATTCCAAACACAGTAAGAATGCACATCAAAACAACCCTAAAGTTTCACCCCACACCCATCAAATTGACAAGGATAATAGAAAGTAGGACTAGTCTGCATTAGAGAGATTGTAGAAAGACAAGTTGGCTAATTCACTTTTGGTACAGCTGTGACTCAGCACAACCATTCTGTAAGGCCATTTGGAATTAAGTAGACCAAGTGGCTAAACTGTGCATCCCCTTTGACCTAGAGATTTCACTGCTAGGCATATACCCCAAGAAAGTTACTGTCAAAAAGAAAGGCCTCATATACACAAAATGTTTATAGCTGGAATTTTAATAGTAGCAAATAACAAAAACAGAGCAGATGCCCGTCGATTTGGGAATGACTAAGCAAATTGTGGTATGTGAATGTAATGGAATATTATTGTATCACAAGAAATAGTGAATTTGAGGAATATAGAGAAGCATAGAAGAACTTGTACGAGCTGGTGCAAAGTGAGGTAAGCAGATTCCAGCACACACTATACACAATGACTACAGCAATGACCAGACTAACTAGTGCTCATATAATAGCTAGTGGTTAAACAATAAAAAAATCTTTTTAGTTAAAAAATGTTTTTGTATAAAGGATGGCTCTGTGGGAGGTGGCATATAAGGGAGAAATGCAAGACAAAAGGCATCAGTAAAAATGTATTTTTTAAAAAGTCTTCATCTTTGTCTTGTTAGATACAAATCAGATCTGTCTCAGGAAAGAAGCAATATGGGGCTTTTTCTTTGTCCTCTCTTCATTAATCCCAGGAAATCTTCTTTGCAAACTACTTTGTTCTTGCCAGATCATCATAAATTATTCATATAATTCTCTTGAAGAGGGTTTCTTGAATACAACACTTGGGACAGTCTTGATGAATAAGTTGTTTTACATCACCTTCTTCTGTCTTCTTACATCACATCTGTCTTCTCCACAGATGCTCATGGAGTCTAAAAGATCCCAATAAAAGTCACAGGGACAAGTACTGGACAATAAGACATTTCTTAACTCCCTTCCAACTGCTGACATAGACTGTTTTTATCATCATTTGATTCACTCTTACCACTCATGGTTTCCAGATTGGCTCTGACACTCATCCTGGGCCCCGTGGCCAAGTCTTAGTCATCTGCCTTCTATGGGGCTTGTTTTCTCCTCTGTAAATGGGTTGTTGTATGGAACTAGATCATTGCCAAAATCTAAGCCTCCAAATCCTTTGGTGTTTCAGAAAGGTGTGACATTCAAGGATGTTGCTGTGCTCTTCAGCCAGGAGGAGTGGTGCTCCCTGGACCCTTCGCAGCAGAAGCTGTACAAGGATGTCATGCTGGAGATCTCTCAGAACATGCTGTCCCTGGGTAAGGATGATGTGCCCTCTGACCCCACCAGTGCCCAACCATTTGGAACATTCTGTTAAAAGGGACTGCCTTTGCTCCCTCCCCACCTACTTGGTGAAGTCAAACATTTATGCATGATTGAAAATGAAAGATGGCTAATTCCTTCCTGTTGGAGAGACAGAGACCTGCTGCTCCCTTTTCTCACATCAAAGGTCCTTGCCTTGTCTAATAGAAAAACAGGAATTTCTTTTTATTACTTCTCAGGTAGTGTCCTCACAATTCTAGGGAGTTTTAGGTCAAAGATGGAATCAGATTTATAGACTCTCAGACTGAGATGTGACCTCAGGGTCTAAGTCTCACTTGGACAATAATTTCCTCAAAAGCATCTCTAGGCACTGGTCAATGAGCTTTTTTTTTGTCGACTTCTGGCTCAGGGAACCCACTAGGTCCTGCTGCAGCCCCTTCCCCTGTGGGAAGTGTCTTATCCTTATGGCATTGATTTTGACATCAAGCCTCAATTTACAGTTCACTGCTGCTAGTCTTACTCTTAGGGGCTTACAAGAGCGAGTCTGGCCTTATTCTTTCTTAATACTTTCCTTAAATTTCATTAAAAATGACAGAAGTTATAGGGACTTCCTATTCTTCCCAGAGGGAGATGGACAAAAAACCAATTCTGTGATTCCAAATTGGCTCCATGACTTTTCCTGTTTCCCTTTTGTAGCTCCCAGCAACATCAATACATTATTCCTATGAATTCCTGGGCACTACCTTCTGCTCCTTCCTAACATATCCCCTTCCTCACAAGGGAGTGAATTTAGAGGTTTCTGTATTCCTTTGCTATTTACCATGATCAGGGCTTCCAGTTCCCAAAGCAGATTGGATCTCGAAGTTGGACAAAGGAGAAGCACCATGGTTGCTAGAACATGAAGACCCAAGGAACTCCTGTCCAGGTGAGTGAGTCAAACTAGAAGGTTTCAGGGATTTACTTCAGGAAGTCATTATCTGCCAATGTTGGGCAGGGCATTCTCCCCCAGTCTTCCGAGGTCATTTGAACAGGACTGAGGTTGTCTGCTGTGAGCGTCAACATAACTCATTTTCCTGATTCATCTTGTTTGATCTTTGCCTGCATTCTTAGAGAAAGAGTGCCTCTCACAATGACTCCGAGCTTTTTCCTCCCCTGCTCTTGTGGGGTGGGAGTGGGTCTCCTTTATCTTAGAATTCTTTCTTCAGAGTCATGTCCCCTGATTGGGAATAGAGTGTGTCTGTTTTTCAGCTTAGCACAGCACCAAGTGCTGTGACCAAGTGACCAAGCATTAGGTCCTGAAAATCTTATACACAGATGTGGAAAAGGGGAATTACAAAATGCATCCTCTGCTGAACATAACAAAAATTATATTGAAATTAGAAAAAGGCATTAGAAGAAAGGACATCAACTTTTTCAAATCATACTCAAGAGTAGATAAACATTCCATTGCACAGTAGGTATAAGATATTATCCTCCATCCTGAGAGGGACACAGGAGACAGAGGAGATGTTGACTGCTCTGTTGGAAGGATGAGGTATAGCTGGTCAATACTGCATGCTCCATTCTATGACTAGGTCTTGTTGATGGTAGTCTGAAGATGTGCTTTAGGGGAAGATAAAAGGTCAATAGGACAGTGGACCAAAAGTGATAGATGAGATAGAATATAGTTGGGATGTCTATTGACTCTTACATTTAGGTTCAACAATTCATGTGCACATTTAGAGGTTGGGGGAGATGGGTATGGTTATTTGTCTGATGCAGAAAAAGAGCTGAGCGTGTCAAAACAAGAACAGTCAGTAGTGAGGGATGGCAGGCAAGGAAGATGAAGTGAACTTAGGCTGCATGGATATAATCAGTGTGTCTAGACCAAAGATGCTGATAGGCCTGTTGTACTGAGATCTTTTGTGACTGCACCTGAGTAGTACGTCCAGTTCTGTGAAAGGAATTAACAAATTAAGACATATGGGACAGACATACATGGGATGGCTCTGCTCAACCTATGGACCTCCTAGGTCCCCTGCATTGATGTGAGGACAGAGCTATTGAAGCGTCAGTGGTGAAATAGCAAATGAATGAATAAACCAATGAGAAAATATTTATTAAATATTATTCTGTACAAAGCATGGTGTAAAGGGCTAGGGATAAAACAAACAAAGAAAACTGGAGGGAAGGAAGGCAAGGGAGAAGGGAGGAGACCAAAGTGACACTAATGTAAATCACTTTTGTTTCTGCCAAGGGAAGTAAGCAGATATATTTGGGGGTGTTTTCCTTGTTTTGTTTTGTTTTGTTTTCTTGCTTCAGGTGGAAGGAATAGACCCCAAACCCAGAAGTCTGCTCCAGAGCTCAATAGTTCCGGTGACTTCAATTTGAGAAAAATCAAGGGACGTGAAATTAACTTAGAGAAACAGCAAGACAATTTGAAGAATCATTCCAGAAAATTAAATATTATCCTCAAGAAAACTCCAAGGGAAAAGGAAGATGATGAATGTAATAAATCTGAGAGTAGTTTTACTCCACAGCCAACCAATAAATGTGATCAGCTGGAAGGGTACCCAGATCTTACTGAAGATCAGAAAATGTCAAATGCCCCAAAGCCTTACAAATGCAATGAATGTGGGAAGACCTTCAGTCGAATCTCGTACTTTAATGGGCACAAGAAGATTCATGATCCAGAGAGATCTTTCATTTGTAATCATTGTGGGAAGGACTTCCCAAGGCCCTACAAACTTACCGTACACCAAAGGGTACATACTGGAGAGAAGCCTTATAAGTGTAATGAATGTGGAAAGTCCTTCTCCCAGGGCTCATCCCTTACCCTACATCAAAAGATTCACAGCGGAGAGAAGCCTCATAAATGTAACGAGTGTGGGAATACCTTCAGCCAGCGCTCAACACTTATGGCCCATCAGAAGAGACATACCGGAGAGAAGCCCTATCAATGTCATCAATGTGAGAAGGCCTTCAGCCGCAGCTCAAGTCTCAGTGTGCATAAGAGGAGTCATACGGGGGAGAAGCCCTATCCGTGTAATGAATGTGGGAAGGCTTTCAGCCAAACCTCATCCCTTACTGTGCACAAGAAGATTCATACTGGAGAGAAGCCGTACAAGTGCAACATATGTCAGGTGGCCTTCAGGGAAAGCTCAGCCCTGAATGTACACAGGAGGTTACATACTGGGGAGAAGCCTTACCAATGTAATCACTGTGGAAGGGCCTTCAGTCAGTCCTGCAGCCTCGCTGTCCACAAGAGAATACACACTGGAGAAAAGCCTTATAAATGTAAGGAGTGCGGCAAGGCCTTCTGTGAGAGCTCATCCCTTAGTACACACCGGAAGATTCACACTGGAGAAAAGCCTTATAAATGTGATGAATGTGGCAAGGCTTTCAGCCGCAGTAAAACCCTTCACACCCATCAGAAGACTCACAGTGCAGAAAAATCTCATAAATGCGATCAGTGTGAAAAGTCCTTTCACTTCAGCTCATACCTGGCTGCGCACAAGAAGATTCATACTGGAGAGAAACCTCATCAATGTAAAGAATGTGGGAAGGCTTTCAGACAAACCACAGCCCTTACTGTACATCAGAGGATTCATACTGGAGAAAGACCCTATAAGTGTAACCAGTGTGAGAAGGCCTTTCACCGCAGCTCATACTTGGCTGTCCACAAGAAGATTCATACTGCAGAGAAGCCTCACCAGTGTAATCAATGTGGAAAGGCTTTCAGAACCTCCTTGAACCTTGTCGTCCATCAGAGGATTCATACTGGAGAGAAACCATATCAATGTAGTGAATGTGGGAAGCTCTTCACCCAGAGCTCCAACTTTACCTTACATCAGAGAAGTCACGCTAGAATGAAACCTTATGAATCTAATTAACGTGCTTATCAAGGACTTGATGACACAGAAAACACAGCCATCAGATGAATCCATATGAATGTAGTTATGTTTTTCCCTCTTTTTCTATCAGTGCAGAAAGAAGGAAGAAGCAGATGGAACTTTGTATTTCCTGTAATTGGGTATATGAGAGAATCATATAAAGACATGTAGGAAGGGCACGGGGAGAGGCATAAGATCTTCACTCTCAACAGGACAAAGAAGGTTGAACACACACACACACACACACACACACACACACACATTTGGTGAAGAAATAAATCAGATTCAATAGGGGATAATTAGGGGCAGCCAGGTAGTGCAGTGGATAGAGTACTGGCCCTGAAGTCAGGAGGACCTGAGCTCAAATCTGGCCTTAGACACTTAACACTTACTAGCTGTGTGACTCTGGGCAAGTCACTTAACCCCAATTACCTCACCAAAATATATATATATACGTATATACATACATATATACATATATACATATATATATATATATATATATATATATATATATATATATATATACAGTGGGGGGATAAGCAGGGATGGGGAGGGGGATTAATATGGAGGACAGTAATGGGGAGGGAATAGTCGAAAGCATAATGAATGTTCACTTGGGAGGGCGGATTCTGAAGCGGGTATTAAAAGGTAAAAAGAAATCAAATAAATGATACAAAGGGGTCTCCATTATTTGGGTAATGACTGGGCAATGCAGTGGAGATGGTGTGGGGCCTGGAGTTGTAAAGATCTGAGTTCAAAACTGGCCTCAGATCCTTAATAGCTGTGTTACCCAGGGAAAATCACTTAACTTCGATCTGCCTTAGTTTCCTCATATGTGAAATGGGTATAATAATGGCACCTGCTTCTCAGGGTTGTCATGAGGATCAAATGAGTTAATATTTGAAAGGTGCTTTCTGGATTTTAAAGCATTTTGTAAATGGTAGCTCTTAATAATATCTAATGGGATATTACTTTGTCATGAGAACTACTGACAGAGACCATTTCAGAGAAACTTGGGAAAACTTGCATGAACTGAGGAAAAGTGCTGAGCAGAAACAGGAAAACAATTTATGCAATAGCAATCCTATGAAGAAAAAGTACTGAACAGCTTCAGAACCTGCAGCCTACAATGACCACCCAAGTTATCCAAGAGGACCAAATGTGAAGCAGGCTGCCCACCTCCCGACACAGAGGAGATGGCTCAGAGTGCAGAATGGGACGTACAGTTTTGGGCTTAGCCAAGGTGAGAATTTGTTTTGCTGGACTACGTATCTTGTTACCACACAAGTTAACTGCCACCATTTATACAGCATTTTACAAAGTGCCCTACAAATATTATCTTGTTTGATCTGTATGACAACCCTGAATGGTGGATGCTGTTATCCTTATGTTACAGGTGAGGAAACTGAGGCAAACAGAGGTTAACGACTTGCCCAGAGTCACCAGCTAGTAAGTGTCTGAAGTCAGATCTGAACTCAAGTCTTCTTGGCTCCAGTCACAGCACCCTATCCCCGGCACTGCCTAGTTGCTCAGACTTATTTGGAAGCAGATGGCCCTGTTCTCTTCTGGACATTTGGTGAATGTTGACTCCTAGAACCTCCCAGAAATTGGTTAGAAGATGGTACTCATACCTAGTAGTTCAAATGTTAAACCCTGTGAAGAACCCTGAGACTAAAGGAGAAATAAATAGCAATGTAGAGCATGAATCAGAGAATGAAAGTTCAAGATTGACAGGAAGGTAAAAGAAGCAATGAAAAGGGCTAAGCCAAGAAATTCCTCTTTGGAAAGTTCTCATAAAAATACAATAATAAATAAAATAAATGGGAAGAGAGTAGTAAACTAATCAGTTAAGTGAGAGAGGGAAAGGGGAAAATGTAATGAAGATACAGATAATTAAACAGAAATACAAAAAAAAATGGGAGGGGGGAAGATAAAGATAAAGAAAGGAAGAGAAATCCTATAACTAGAGAGAGGACTGACAAACAGGAGTGGTGGTGAGGGGAAGGAGCCTGTTGGGAAGAATATTGCATAAAAGTAAACAGATTTCATCCTAGGGACAATGCAATCTTATTGAATGAACACTTATTAGACACCTACTATATTCCAGGCATGTGCTAAGCACTGGGGATACAATTAATAAGAAGAAAGGCAGTCCGAGAGGACAAGGCCCAGCTCCCTCCAGCCTTTGTTGTCAGTCCCTCTGGGGCAGTGAGCTAGGAGGGTAGAAGTAGAGGTGAGGGCCCAGCAGTGACTTGGGTCAGACAGACTACCCCTTCTCCCTCTCTTTCTCCCTCCCCCCCACTCTAGTCCTCATCATGGGTCCAGGCCTCAGCCTAATGAAGAGCCGGCAGACTCAGTATGACTGGAGTGCAAAGAGAGGGACAGATGAGCCCTGGGAGGGACGGGAGGAACAGGGATGGGGCTGGGCTTCTGGGACAGCCGTCTCTCCTCTTCCTTGTTGATGTTATTGCCATTTTTAATCTCCCACAAAATCTTGTTAATAAAAAAATTTTCAAAAAAAAAAAAGAAGAAGAAGAAAGGCAGTCCTTGCCCTCAAAAAGCTTACATTCTAATTGGGGCAGAAAGTGTGCCTGTGGGGAACACTAGAAGACTCCTAGTGCAAGGGCATATTGTTCTGTGGAGTTGGAAAATCCAGGTAGGGTAGTAGAAGCAGAGTTGAGGGACTCCAGAAGGCTAGCTTCTGCCCTCTATAAAGGAAGGCATGGGTGGTGGGGAAGGGGGTCGGTTCATCCTCCTGCCCTTCACTCACAGGGCAGAGGAAGTTGGGGGAGGTAGTGTCAGTTAAAGCTTACATTAGCAGCAAGGTAAGGAGTTTAGATCTGGTGAACTTAACTGGGAGGGGCATCTTATTCCATGTAGCTGAAAAAACCAGGGAGGAAAGCAGATATAGGTGGACAAAGAACTGACTTAAAAGAGGAAGTGGAGAAGTCAGCTCAAAATTTAGCTCCACTTCTAAATGGCATAGGTCCCATGATAGACTGCTAGGCCTGCAGATAGGAAGGCTCATCTTCCTGAGTTCAAATCCTGCCTCAGACCCTTACTACCTGTGTGGTCTTGGGTAAGTCAGTTTCTTGGCCTTGTGTGGTCTTGGGTAAGTGACTTTACCTTCAGTTTCCTCTGTAAAATGAGTTGAAGAAGAAAATGGCAAACCACTCCAGTATTTTTGCCAAGAAAGCCACAAAGCATTGGGCATGACTGAACAACACGAAATTCTTGTTCAAAGGCAAAGTCTCTACTGGATAAGTCCTTGTCTCAGCCACCATTGGGCTAAGAGTCCCAAAGATCACTCCCAAAGATCACTGCTTGCTCCTCTGGACACTGATGCTTAGCTAGTTTTGGACATCAGCTCCCAGAATCTTTCAACATAAGAGGCTCCATTACAATAGGGGGAAAACAAATGAAAGGCCAAAGACCAAGCTAAGCTTCTCAAGGCCACAGCCTCAGAGGGGAGAAGGTCATCAGATGTTCCCCCTAAAATCATGACATCTTAACAGATGCAGTGAGGTAAGGAGTCACCAAAGAAGTGAAGGAATGAAAGAGGGAAAGAGTAAGAGGCTGACGCTGATGACTCCACATGTTGGATGTTGGATGACTCCACAGCCAACCAAAGAACATCCTCTCCAGTAGGTGCTCAGCTGACAGCCACCAGGTAGAGAAGGTCAATATATGGTACCTAGTCTCTCCAAGGCAATTCCTTCTGTCCCTCATCATTGCAACTCTACCAGAGTGAAGAGGAACATGGATGATCACTGTACGAAGCTCTCTGCACCTGCGCTAGACCTCCTCATTTTTCACACACACCCCAACGCTAGTCTCCCTTCTGAGCTCCACTACTATCATATCTTCCATTTCCACATATGGAATTAGGAATCTAATAGACATCTCAAACTCAACATATCAAAAACGCAACTCATCTTTTGCCTAAAATATTCTTTTCTTCACAACTTCCTGATTATTGTCAGGGGGTACCACCATCTTCCTAGTCACTCAAGTTCATCATCTTGGTATCATCCTTGACCCTTCACTCCAAGTCACCTCACATATGCAATGTGATGCTGTCTTCTCATCATTTCTCCCCTATCCCCTCCTTTTTTCTTCACTTACACACAGTCACTACCCTATTATGGGCCTTCATCATCAAACGCCTGGTATTATGTACCAGGTACTGTGTACTAAAGGAAAAGCTGCTCCCTGGTCTCAAGGAGCTCCCTGTCCAATGAGGGAGACAACATACCAAGAAAACCATGGACAAACAAATTATATGTAGACTACATTGAAGATAATCACCAGAGGGAAGACACGGGCATTATGAGGGATCAAAAGTGTTTTTCCTAAAACTCAGCCACGACCATATCACTCCCCTCCCGCCAGTAAAGTCCAGTCAATCCTTCTCACCTCCAGGATCAAACATAAAGCTCTTTTGAACCTGGGGTCCCCCCTCCCTTCCCAGTCTTCTTACGCTTTACTCGTCTCCATGTAATCTATGATCCAGGGACACTGGCCTTGTTCTTATTCCCCCAACACAACAAGCCATATCATAAATCAGTTTCTCACTGGCTATCCCTAATGCCCAGAATCCTCTTTCTCTTCCTCTCTGCCTTTTGGTCTCTGTGGCTTGGCTGCCTTCAAGACTCAGCTCGGATCTCACTTTCTTTAAGAAGCCTTTCCAGGCTAATGCCAGCCTGCTGAGATTAACCTCTATTTACAACTGTAACAGTGACTGCCCTGGTCCCCCCACTGCTTGAAGTCAATCAATAGTCAATGACTTTTTATTAAGCACCTACTGTATGCCAGACACTGTGCTAAGTGTTGGGGATACGAAAAGAGGCAAAAGACAGCCTCTGCCCTCAAGGACCTCACAATCTAATGGGGGAGACTAGAAGTGAACGAATATGTACAAATAAGCTCTAAACAGGATAAAGTGGAGATAATTGAAAAGGGAAGGCACTAGAATTAGGAAGGGTTGGAAAAGGCTT